ATCCTTGATGAGGGCGGCTGCCCGTTCTTCTCCGCCGTAGGTAATCTTGGTGCCAGCGCCCCATGCTAGGAGTGAATGCGGGCAAGCTCGCTGTTGTCGTGGGGGAACTGTTGGGTGATGCGCACTCCCTGCGCGAAGAATCCTGTGTTGTGTTCAAAATGCAGGACGCTGGGTAGGAATTTCCCCTGTTGGAGAATGCTGGTGATGTTTCCTACCGGACCAGTATGGCCAGCGTTGATGTGCACGATTTCAGGAGAAGTCTTGGTGGCACGAGTGGGATGTGGTGGAAAGCGGCGGTGTGCTTTTTGGGAAAGAGTGGGAATGGAAATGTGGTTGAAGCGGTAAACATCATACTGCTCGGAAACGTTGTTCCATTCGATGTGAGTAAACTGGCGGTAGTCGCGCACGTCAGCGTAAGTGAGGCCGCTGTCCAAAAGGAGGCGTGCAACATAGGAGTGTTGTGGCTTGTTGGGAGTATCGAATTGGTCGGCACGGTAGTCCAGCCAAATCTCGAGTTGTTCTTGCGCAGGCTTGTCAGTGAAGTGAGGTGGAGCTTTCCAAGGATTGAGCGCGCGACGAACACGGGGAAAGTTTGGATAGGTGTTGTGTGGAGCAGAGGGCCTGGCAGGGATGGTTGTGTTGGTGGAGCGCTTGCTGAAATCCGCATTGGGGACAAGAGTGACGGGGGGGTGATGTGGAGGGGATCGACTGCGTGAAGGAGAAGAGTAGGAGTAGCTGTAAGAAGTGGAGTGATGTCGTCTGGAAGCTGTATAGGTTTGAGAGCTGTGGCGGGATCCGCGGGTGGAGTGTCTGCCCGAACGACCTCTGCGGCTTGGGTCGCCGACGCCCATGGTGCCGGTGTCGCGATGGTGGTGATGCGATGCTTTCGCGGGCGGAGTGGTTGCTGGATGGTTGGTGTCTGTAGTGGCTGAATGTGTGGGAGCTGCAGGTGAAGAAGGTGGTGGTTGTGGGTTGTCTGGAGGTGCTGGTGTGGATGGATCGGTGGCAGCAAGTGAGTCCGGGGCAGTAGAGCCTGCCTGAGCTACCGTCGGTGTGGTTGTGGCGACAGCAGCTGGTGTGGGGAGTGCTGGAGTTGTTGGCTCTGGTAGTGGCCCTTCGAATCTGGAGATGTGACCGCAGGAAAAGCGGAGAAAGGCTGCTGTTGCCAAACGCCCTGCTGTGGATCCCAGGAAATGGTGGCTCTGAGTTGATGAGGGATGGTAATGGCTGTGGAGGCGCAGTAAAGGGAGGCGGGTGGCAGGGTTCTGCCATCGGTGCTGTGACATGGTAGTGGGACTGAGGGTGTGAAGTGGGCCATGCCGGTGGTAGTAGTGTAGGTGTTGGAGGGTAACGGGTAGGCTGTGGTGGTAATGGATGTGGTGTAGGCATCGTCGGCGCCGGGTGGTGTGGTGGAGGTTGTGGCGCATAAGGAAACGGCCATGGAAATTGCATTTCGTGAAACAGTGTCCAAGTCGTCTGCAAGACACCAAGCAAGAAGCAGCTGCTGAAAATGGCGATCGCGGCGGCGCAGGCAGCTGCAGAAGTAGAGATATTGAAAGGTGGAATAATACTCAAAGTAAAACTCGAATTCAAAGCTACATGTAGGTGAGGAAAGTAAGTGGTAGAGAAAGAGTTGAAGTGGTGTGTCATAACATGATTAAGAACTCGATCCGGTACAATCCTGAGATTGAAAGCTGGCCGCGTCACGTGAACATGCAAACATGAACGTGGAGCAAATTCAGATTCTGCGGGAGAAAACCGTGGAGCCCGGCGGCTTGAATTTTGGGAATACGGTGGTGAAACGAGAATCCGTGAAGATAATCCAACGAGCGCAGAACGCGAAGAAATCTGTTAGTGATATTCCAGCATGAGACCGCGCCCCAGTGACGGGGATCACACCCTGCACGGACGGCAGAGCGGCACACACTCTGACATTGGTTTTCAGTTAGCTCAGTTCCCAGGTCGAAAAGGGCGAGGGAAACGCAAGGTGAAAGGGTCAGCGCACTTGTATTGTTTGAACAATCTGTTGACATGTCTGAGGTGGCGAGCGTCAGCGCAATTCAGCTGCAAGAAACGTGACAAGGGAAAGGTTTAAGGGAGGCATCACGCAAACTACCATGAATCAAACCGTGGAAAAGTAGGGGTGACAGCTTGTGAACAATACGTCGATTTGGCGCCCCAAATCGGTTTCACAGATGCAACACTGGCGTCTTCGTTGGTGCCAGTCCAGTGTGCATCTCTGGCACCCCCTGCTAGAAGAAAACGAGGAAGACTCTTAGGTACAGAGTGGGGCACACACTGTTTTCTGCAAGCGCTGCAAAACAGATACATATATATATATATAGCGTAAAAAAGTCCACGTTCGCTGCACCTCAAGAACGCAAAACATAAAGCTATGAGAATTACCCGTGGAATTGACATTGGCTTGTTCAACGGACTTCCAGCTTGTACAACTCCAAAACACACACACATCACGACGCAATTGGCGGCAGACATGCTGAATTCTTAAAGGCATTTACTCTACAGCAATCAACGAGACGAAGGAACGCGTTGCAGCAACAAAACAAAACAGGACGAACTTACCCCCAAACTTGAAATCTTTCCATGTCCTGATAGTGGCTTGCTTCAAGAATTTCAGCACAGTCTTCAGCAACTGTTCTCTGCTTCTTTGGTGCTTTTGCACCCAACACCTTCCAATCCAAAACTTGGGAAAGTTCAATTTCCAAATCAACTTAAGCTCCAAACTCGATCCAAGGATACCTGCGACGAAGCGCTTCAAAAATCGAAGGCATCGCACAAAACGGCGCAAATGGACACATTTTGTATCTCATTTTCAAAAGTTTAGGCAGCACTGCTGCGGCAGCACCTCCTCAGGAAAGTGCTTGGCCAGGCATTTCAGCATGCTAGTAACATCATCGGAGAGGCCTGTAGCAAAAAACAGCCATTGCGCAAACAAGGAACACATGGGGAAACACAAGAGTCTTACAAGAGGCGTTTAACAGGAATCACTGTTGACACCTGAAAAGTGATGCACCTTAGCCTTAAGGGACCCTGCAAACCTGCACTAACAATGTGAGCGGCGTCTGGAAACAGGGAACTCATTGTCCGGTAGTTGAAGCTCCGCTGCGCCTTTTCGGGCTACGGTTGAGCCACCACGAACACTGTTCTCCCAGGCCTGCGTGCGCACAACAAATCCACTACAGCAAGCCAGCTTGAAAAGGGCACACAGAAACAACTGATGGTCATGGAGCGCATCGATTTTTATCCACAAAACACAAGCCGCAGTGGAACCACACAGAAGCTTGCTACTTCATGCACTTGCAAAGCATTGTTGATGTTCCAAGTGCAGTGGCTGCAAAAGCACGGTTGAAGCTCGCGCACGTGGAAGGTCCTTGGTTCGGCTTGTCCGGAGTACCGCCGACCCTGGCAGCGCCCGGACACTGCAGGGTGGAGCCCTCACCTTTGCCCAGCCCCAGCCGCTCTTGACTACATGGGCTCTGGCGGTGGGCTTGCAAACCTTTTTCTAGTGGGCTTCGACGCTGCCATCTGGGACCCGCTCCGACCGCATGCGCGCGCAAAGCAAAATGAGCCAAAGGTGTGGCGAAGCACGCTTTCCGCCTTCCACGCCCCGCTTGCAAGCCTTAAAGCTGCCGTGGGGCCCTCTCCTGCCTCATGTGCGCGCTGTGGTGAAGCACAATTTCTACACCTTTGGCCGTGGGCTTGAACTGTTTTAAGTGAGTTTCGAAGCTGCCGTCTGGGGCCTTCTCCGGCCGCATTTTGCGTGCAAAGCAGCATGGTGGCGAACGCCTTCGGCTTGAGCCGCGGCGATCACAGAAGCGCAACCCATCTGTCCTGACTATGTCTGGACCTACTAAGCTTCCCCTTGTTGGGTCGAATGCGCACGAGCACTGCGACCATGCTCACCCCCCAGAACCCAAAATCTTGACTTCTCACCAACTGCTGAAAGAGTCACGCACCTGCTAATCTCTAGGATGGTATCTGTTCGCCTTGGAGCCCCCAGCCCTCCTTGCCACCAACCCCCCCTTTGTTGGAGGGGTCGGCGGCACTGATGTTCAAAATGTCGGTTTGCGGCCGACATTTCTAGCATCACCTGGGCTTATACGGCTTCTTTAAAAATCAGGACTTTGTAGTGGAAAACGCTGAGGAACACTGCATTTTTTGCATTTGCTAGCCTAAGCGCAAATAGCTTAAGCCTAGAAAGTGCTCAGAATATTCAAAAGTACAAATTTCTCAACGTTTTCCACTACAAAGTCCTGATGTTTGACGAAGCCGCGCGCGTGCGCGCTCTCGTGTGCGTGCGTGTGCGTTCGTGTGCGTTCTTTTGCGCGTGCGCGGGCGGGTGCGGGTGTGGGGGTGCATGTGCATACGTGTGTCTGAAGTTGAGGTTGCCAGGCTTTTTCCATCAGACCCTCGTGCGCACACCTGTGTGGGAGTGTGTATGCGCAGGCGTCAGGAGCTGTGCTAATCGTCGATTTTGCTGTGCAAACAGCCTGCAGATACGCGCAGTGCTCCCAAGGGCGTCGCCGGTTGGCGGAGCCTGTCCGTAAGCAGGTTGCGGTTTGCAACAAGAATGGAGGCCAGGTGGTCAGGTGCAGCAAGGTTGGAGTGGGTCTGAAGGAATACAATGCACTTCTTGAAAGGATCACCAATGCCAATGATTACATACATGAACACTTGCACGATCTGGAACTTGCTGGGTCAGCCAATCTTCCGACGCAGCTAGCATTTGATACATCTTAGCCAAGTGAGCTTTACGGCAACGTTGATGCAATTCAGTGGATTGATGAGATATTGGAGTGAATCCAAATGCATTAAAGAACCTGAAACGCAATTTGTTGATAGGATGCTATTACTTACCAACTGTCCACCGTGTGCCATGGTACATGGAAGCGGAAGCACGACCAACTGTGCAAATATGTGCAAATATCTACGTCCTTTTGACTGCAGCAAACTAAGGTCCAAACCTAGAGCGAAACCCTTCAACTCTTCTTGAACCTCAGTCTGGAGCTTGTCAGTTGCTCATGCAACGTCATGCTCGGGGGCCCACTGGTCCAGCCAACAATGCATTCCCCTCGCTGATTCATTGTCCTCTGCCACGAGATTTCACACACAATTCAAGCTCCTTTTCTGGACATTCTTGAATTCTTGATGCATCATCGTACTGTCCTTTGCCTCGAGACTTGCCAGTGCATGCTGCAAATCACGTGGTAAAGCATCCAAAACCTGAACAGGGCAAGTCAGTGTGATTGAACAAAGGAAACCACTTCAAGCACTTGTACAATACAGTGCGCAGCGGAAGCAGCCACAAAAGATTGAAAGTAGGGACATCTTAATTCTAGAGGATCTCTATACACTTCTACACATCCCACGTATCTTTCACAGCCAGCCTCCACAGGCTGGCTCTCGTTGTCCAAAAATGAAATCAGGAAACCTTGCATTCTTGCAAAGAACCCGGCCAGTTCACTTCGCACATCTTCACGCTATCCTGTGATGCAGTATCCGATGTGTTTATGATTCAACTATGTGCAAGGCGGTGCAAGAAATTTCGATGGAGGAGGTCGCGTTGAAATGTTGCAGCGCTGGCGTATTTGGCATCGCCTGCCGTTTCAAGACTTTGACTTAGAAAACAACGAAGTCACATCTACAACCTCGGAGAGCCATGCCTACAAGAGGATGACCCATGAAGGCCAAGTGGCTTCTTATCTGATGCCTTCTGCCTTGCACTGTCACCGGTGCTTTGAACCCAGGTCTTTACTCAACTCCAAATGTGTTGGCGTACCTGTCTGAATTGTAATTTCCACAAGAGTGTAGGTGACCTCAACTGATCTTGAATCAACTGCTTCAAATTATCTGTAGAGCATGCTGGGGGTCTTGCGCCCTGTTGTCCATCAACTAAATATGAAAGCACCTTTGCTTTACTTGGAAGTGCATTCACAGGATTTATTAACAAACACAAGTTGAAGGAGATAGCAAAGAACATGTCTGGAAGCAAGGCCTCCAGGAAACTGCGAGCTGGCTTGCCATACTGACAAATTCGGCTCGGTGCGGCATTTGCTTGGTCCCACAAAAGTGGAGCTGTGATCCTTGGACTAATGCCACACCCCTTGGACCAACGGTGCAAACCACATGTTCTCTTTGCAGTTGGAGCTCTCACAGTAGGATCGAGGCAGCCAACCGTGGCAAAGCGCGATGTAATGGCGGCGAACCTGCAGGGTCAACTAGCGAACCCTGAAGTTCCAAGTTCGCCTTGCCCCACCTTGCCCAAGTTCATTTGCAGGATAAGATCATAATAGGCAGCGTACCTAGTTTTTCCTATGACTGCTTTGTTTTCAATGACAAACACCTTTCAGGTTGCTCACGATCTGGCCGCCAGGACGAGACCAGAATTGGGCACGTCCAGCCGGTGCATCCTCTGGGTCAAGTAATGAGTTCCCGGAGTGCGCGTGCTTGCACACACAAATTACAAACACACTGGAAACATCATTCGGAAGGAGAGCGCTGTATTGCGTCTGAGCTCTTCAAGCTGGAATTTGCTGGCCAACCATGTTGTGGACGACAGTCCTGGAAAACCTGGAACTTACATATATAAGTACACATGTCGACAATTGTCCATATGTATCTATGTATGTATGCATGTATGTATGTATGTATGTGTATGTATGTATGTATGTACTTATTTTTTGTTTTCTATGCCAATAAATGCGAACCTTTGCCTGTTTCCAAAAGGGCTGCGCAGTGGTGAGAAAGCAACAATGGTACTGTACAATCACACCTATGCACAATACTGCAAATTCTACACACTCCTTCTCGGTAGCGCGAGCGCCCATAAGCTCTTTTAGCTCACTCTGCCACTATCATAGGTCTGTTCTACCCCTTTTCTCTGAGGAACGTGGTTCCTTGAGGCCTTCTTCTTGAATTTTTTTCTTCTAACATCGTTTGGAATCTATGTATCTCATAGTCGAGCATATCTACTTGTTGAAACTGTCCTCTTCCTTCTAATACCCAGCGTCTTGTGTTCAAGCTGTTGATCTTCACCTCAAGTCGACCACGTAATGCATCTGTCTGTTCTTCTTCGTACTCCATAGTGTTCTCATTTTCTGCATTTCCTGCCCTTCTGAAGGAACTGCCCTTTGAGTCGCTGCCTGTAACATCAGAGATACTGTCCTCTTGCCGATCTCAAGTCTTCTAAGCTCCTTCATAGCTTTGTCTGTGTAGAGAATCTGGCTCTTGTACTTCTACAAAACCTCCATTGAGAATCAATCCACAATGAATTCTCCTGGTTATAGCTTATGTGATTTTCATAGATTTTCTGCTTGGTGTTCATCTTTTTCTTTCCTGTCGATGATCTCGCATTCATTCATCTTTCCACAATGGAAATTTCTTTGCGCTTCCACTGTCCCTTCCACATACTTCCATAGTCTCCACATTGCAGAGGTCATTACTGCAAAACCACAGGTAATGATCGTGAAGACTGTGGTTGTCCAGTTTCTAGTGGAGTCTTCTACTCCCAACCTGCGCTGGCCAATCTCTTTCAAAGATGTAGTAGTTAGCAGCTTCTGTAATCATTGGTTGCAAGCCCTCCAGAGTCACGATTCTGACTCATCTTGGCAGTTTTGTTGATCTTGCCTGCAAAGTCCTTTTCTCTTCATACACCTTTCTCTCAAGCTCATCCACTCTTGTTTGCTTTTCATTGCGCCAATAACAAAAAAGGTTCATCGGAAATCTGATTCTCTGTCCTCCAAGTGGCTTGGTATTGATGTCTACCATGTTGCTGTCTGTTGGTACTTGTATCATATTGAAGTCTCTTCGGTTGAATCCACGGTAACTTTCCATCTATAAAATTTTGTCTCACTTTTCCAACTCTTCTCTTCATCACAAGCTGGCGCGCGCTCGAAGAATCTGTGAAGATGTAATGGTCCACCTTTGCCCCAAGCGCAAACTCAAGAACTGAACGAATGTATATACCTTCTGAAGCTGAGGAAACTCTTGCGCGCAACTCTGCCTCACACGAAGATAAGCTAATAATCTTCTGTGTTCTGCTGCTGTTGAACAATGGACAACTGTTCAATGCATGAAAGCCTCCTGATGTTGACTTTCTATATGGCTTTTTGTTTCCTTCCGCTCCGGTCTGAGTCTGAAAATGTCTCTAAGCAGCAATAGTGATCACCTGTCTTCACATAGCCTTCTCCTGCCTGTGGAAATTCAACTTCTAGACGATTACTAGACGATAGTCCATAACCTTCTTCAAGTATCATAGAAATTTCTTCAAGTGATGATAGGACATAGTTGTTGGATTTGACATTCTTGAAGCCAGTTCCTTGACAGTAAATGGCACATCGTACCTTTCTTGACAAAGATTTGACAAAGATAGATACCTGCACCAACAATGCTTCTGAATAGGCTGATCTTTTCTTGCTCATTCAGGATCTCTGACTTCTTCCATCTGAATTAAGTTGTCTGAAGGTATTTGTTGAAGTTTGATCTTTCCAACTTGTTCTTCATACGCCTTCAGCACCTGTTGGATGTAGTTACCTGGTTGGATCACTGGTCCATCTTTCTCAAGTTTGCACTTTCTCCGCAGGAAATTGAATTCGTCGCCCAGACCTTCTCAATCTCGCTGGTGTCAAACCTGTCTTGAATCTTTAGAAGAAAGATTTCGTTGATATACTTTGAACAATCTGTGAAAATCAAGTCACCCACATGAAATCAAAATGATACTCTTCTCGTTTCTTCCTAGGCATGGACACTCAGCACTGAACTTGTAATCGAGTTCCTCGGTGAGGTACCGTGTGAAGACGTCGAACCATGCCTTTGCTCCAACTCTCTGTCCAGGTAAGTTCCTTTTCACCAAGGATACTTCTCCTCTCAAATTCACTTTCAAATCCTTCTCTTGTGGAACTTGCAAGAACGCGTCTTTCACATCTAGACAACCCAGTACTTGAGAGGGTAAAAGTTCAGTACATGACCTGAAGTCGCGGGTGAGAAAATGTCACCTCCCTTTCCTTCAGCGAAAGCTATTTCTCGTGCGACTCGTCTTGATCTTCTCTTCCACCTCTTGCTTGTATTTCCATCTCCATGATGATAAGGCTTCTTTCTCCAATCATACACACTCCGTGTAGTCAGGAAACTGATACCTTCTGTGCTGCCTTCTGGTTTCTCTAGCCCTTGCATCTTTTCACTTCTTTTCTCTTCAGCTTCATCAGCTACACCATCTATCCATTCTTCTGGATCTTCTTCTGGTTCATGTTCTCCATCACGCTGCAAGTTCTTCCCCTTCGCTTTCTTCTGATCCACCTTCTTTCCAGTCTTCTTCATCAAATTCTTCTGCAACTGGGGATAACTCTTCATCTACATGATAGAGGTCTTCTCCTGCCACCTTTCCTTTACCAAGTTGACCTTAGCCTTCTTGCCAGAATCTTCTGATGGCCTGAATTTCTTCATAGGACTTTCTTCCTCGAGCAATTCAAGTGCTTCCCTTGGTCTCGAAGGCGCGGATGGTAACCCCCGTGAAGATAGCGTAGGGGTAACTGGATTAGGTTGACCGCTTTCACCCCCTCCAGTGTCTTCTCATCTGCAGAGAGAACTTTCTGCTTCTTGCTTGGGGGTTCTTCTCCACATGGCTTCCATACTTCACCTCCATCTCTTTTGCGTGCCTTTGCCGGAATCTCCAGCGGGCTGGAACTGGTATTGGCCCTAGGAATAGAGGTTGCTCTTTCTCTGAATCACTTCCTCCTTCAAGAGCTTTTGCCATGACAGCTTCTGCATCTTCATCTCTGAATTTCAACATCACACGCTCTTGAGGAATATCTGCGCTAATGGCAATGCTTCTGCTGGCTCTTCTCTTGGTGGCAATAATTCTGCCTCCAAAGTTTGTCCGGCGCTCCCATGAAAAGGCATTGAAGCTTTTGTAAATTGCCAGGCGCTTGGACCAATCTTGATCTGTTCTTCTGACGCATTTGCTCAGCGCTACTTGCACATCATCTGTCAAGACATAAGTATCTTGGCTTTCCACTTTCTCCGAGACTAACCATAGACGCCGTCGAGCTTCTCCTTTGTTGAGGCTTCTGATGTAGCCGTCCTCGGCTGAAAGTCCTTTGTAACTCTTACCGTACACGAGCTCACGTGGAGCGGCACCTTTGACTGGTTGAAATCGATTCAACACCCAACTGGCATGTCTTGCTGCCCAGTTCCAAAGTGCATGATCTGATCCTATCTTGATACCAAGCTTCGATTGCAAACCTTTAATGAAACTTCCTGCAAGCTTCCTCACCCTGTCAACCGTGTTCAGAATTGCCCCCAACTCAAAGTAGAGGGTCCAGATAGATACCCTTCTCCAGGTCACCCTTGTTTACAGGAGAACAAACATCACATTGAATCACTTTTGAATCATTTAAAACCCTTTTTGAAGCTTATAAAATCTTATTGGTGCACTTTGTTGCCTTAAAAGTGCGAAAAAGTGATTTAAAATGATTTGAAAATGCAAAGAGTGTATTTGTCACTTTTGTTTCTGAACGTGATGTTCATTAAAAAGCTGGCAAGTAATGCTTTAACTTACTGTGTTTGAAAGTCAGCATTTCATTGTCATCCTCATTGTGTTAAGAATGTTTTTTAGGAAAGAGGAACAGGAAGAGGAAGAGGAAAAGGAACTGTAAAACAATAAAAAGGAAAAGGGCGAGAAAGAGGAACAGGAAACAACAAAATGGTTTGATTTGATTTGTTGATTATCTATTCTACTGCTTTTCTGTGGTTTTACAAAATTTTGTAACCTGATCAAATCTGATCAAACCTGATCAAATTTGATCAAATCTGATCAAATTTGATCAAATCTGATCAAAACCATGGTCTTGATCAAACTTGAACAAATGTGATGGGATTGCATTTTTGCAAACACCTTAATTTCCCGAATTAAAAAGTTTTGTCACAGTTTTAGTCATTAGATTGTGTTTCCTCAACTCTCCTCGCCAAAGAATTGCCCACAGTTTTAGTCATTAGATGTTGTTTCCTCAACTCTCCTCACCAAAAAGTTTTGTCCACAGCTTTATATAAGCATTAAATGTTGGTTCCTTTCTCCACCCAATATTTTGTCCACAGTTTTAGTCATTAACTTTTTTCCCTTAACCTCCCTCACCAAGTTTTATTGCCCACGGCTTTAGTCATTAGAAGTTGCTTCTTTAATTTCCCTGGAAAGGGAAAGGAAGAGGAAAAGGAAGAGGAAACGAAAAAGGAAGAGGAACAGGAAAAGGAAGAGGAAAAGGGGAAAAAAACGGAAAAGGAAAAAGACAAGAAAAGAGGAAAAGCAAGAGGAAGAGAAACGGCAAAAAAAGGGAAAAGAAAAGGAAGAGGAAAAGGAAGGGCGCAAGGAAAAGGAAAAGGGAAAACACCACATATTTTTTGGGCGAAGGAAAGTAAG